AACCTGCTTAAGCTTGGAGTGCCTGTCGCACAGGGCGGCCTCCCCCGAACCCCGCTTACGCTTGGAGTGCCTGTCGCACAGGGCGGCCGCCCGCATGTCGCAGAGGCGCAGGGAGCCCTTGCTGCTGCTGTAGACGAAGAGGTGGCAGTGGTGCGGGTGGAACTCGGACGCCGTGATCACCTCCGTCAGGTCCTCCATGTTGGCCGGCTTGATGTCCACGATGTCTGGGCCGTCAAGGAAGGTGTGGCTGTCCCCTCCCTGAGCGACACCTGGGTCTCCCCTACACCCTGGGTCCCCCACCCTACACCCTGGGTCCCTCCCCTACACCCTGGGTCCTCCACCCTACACCCTCGGGACCCCCACCCTACACCCTGGGGTCCCCCACCTCTATAACCTGGGGTCTCCCCACCCCCTCTCCCTGACATACCCCACATCTAAGCCGCCTCTCCGTTCCCCAAGCCCTTGGACAAACACCCACCCCAAAGAGTCCCCAAGCTGCAGGCCTGCATGTCGCAACGCCCACTGGCTGCCCCTTCTGAGTGCCTGTCCATTGTCCCCAAAAGCCTGGACTTGCCACCTCCCTCCTGACCTGAGCTCTCTCCCCGCCAGTGCCATCCACTGAGGCCCCTCTGCCTGCCTCCCATCAGGGGCGGGCAGAAGGCAGAGCGTGGTGGAGCGCCTGCTGGGCACTCAGTGACCGCCCCATGCCCCCGCCTCTGCATGTGTGGTGGCCCAGGCTCAGCTCGGCCAGCTCCTGCTGTGTGACCGAGGACGAGTCCCTGGTTCTCGGTGCCTCGGTTTCCTTGCCTGTGAAATGGGTTAACAGCTCCTACTCGGGCTTGCGGTGGAGACTAGCAGAGGCACGGCCCTGGCACACCGCCGGCCGCATCTCAGAGCCCAGTGCCGCCAGCTGCCCATCACTGAGAGACACTAACACCAGTGGCAGCGCTGAGACCCAGCTCCCATCAGCCCCGCCCCCATCCCAGCTGCTTTCTCTCAGTAGAAAGGGGCGTCTTCTGGAAACTGCTGTGAAGATGAGAGTTTATAACCATCAGAAAGACCCTGACCCTGTGCATCAGGGGCCCGAGGAGGGTCTGTGCTGGCGCTCCAATCCCGCCTCCTGGGAAGCACGGCGCTTCCCACAAACTTAGAATCACACGGGAACATGCAGAGGACCAGGGGCGCCGTCCCCGCCTGAAGCGGTTGCCCTGGAAACGGTGGTTTTCTGCGCGACACGAAGCAGAGATTAAATCACGAGAAATGGGACCGAAGGCTGATGAGGAAGAACTGCAGCATCTGTGACGCGAATCCCGCCCACATCGGCCTGCAGTCCCACCGACAGCCCAGCACTGAGGTTCTCACGGCCCAAGCCTCGAGACCCTCTCTTGCTGTTTCCAAAAAGGACTCTGCCCTGGCTGGTGTGCTCAGTGGTTAGAGCGCTGGCCTGTGCACTGAAGGGTCACTGGTTCTATTCCTGGTTCAGGGCACGTACCTGGGTTGCAGGTTCAATCCCTGTCCCTGGTTGGGACACAGGAGGGAGGCAACCAAACAATGTGTCTCTCACATCAATGTCTCTCTCTCTCTCTCTCTCTCTCTCTCTCTCTCCCTCTCTCTCCCCTTCTCCCCCTCCCTCCCTCCCTTCCACTCTCTGGAAAAAATATCCTCAGGTGACAATTAACAAAACAAGGGCTCTGGATAGAGCGGGTGCCGGGAAAGACAGGTGTGACGCACGGAGCCTGCATTTCCACGTGACCCTGGTGGAGGGAGACAAAGCCAGAGTCAGGGTCAATGTGTGTCTCTGAACCCCAAGATCCAGAGCCCACGCCCGGCACCCCTGGGACCAGGTGGCATCTGTCAGGACCCGACCATCTACCCAGCCGCTCCAAGACCTCGGCTCAGCCCCCGGAGACCTGCCCGTGCCCGCTGCCCGGCTCCGCCCTGTGTGAGAGGGTTAGTGACTGAGGGGGGCTGTCCCTGTTGCCCCCCTTAGTCCTGTCACAGAGCGGGGCCTGCGGTCGGCCTCCCGACAGGGAAGCAGGTGCAGAAGGGGCCTCGGTAGGTAGCACGACAATATGCCCCAGACAGACACGTGGACACTCCCCCTGGCTCACCCTGGTGGCCACACGCCTGTGAACTTAGGGGCACTTGGTCCTACAGTGACCGTGGCAGCGGCCCTGACGGGGGCAGTGCCCAGTGCTGGGTTGGGAGTCCAGGCCCTGGCCTGGGTGGCTGGTCTGCGCTCTCTCTGGAATGGCAATGCCACCTGAGAAAGCCATGTCCCTCCTGCAAGCCCGTTTCCCCAGGTGTAGAATGAGGGGCTGGGCGTGACCCAGGGGGCCCTTGCATTGCGAGGATGAACCCCCAGCCCCTCCTGGGTCCTTGAGCAGTGGTGAACCCCACAAACGAGGCTCTAGGAGGTTCGGCAGGATGGACCTCCCTTGGGAAGGTGCGTAAGTTGACTCATCACAAGCCCCCCCTGGCCGAGCGGGACGGGTCATCCATGCTCTGTCCATCTCTGTCCCCCACCTGTCCGTGGGCTGCTGTCAAACTCCCGCCGCACTTCGGGGAGAGGAATGCCCCCCCTCCAGCCCCGAGGAAGGCTTGGCAGCACAGGTGGGCGGACAGGGGAGAAGGCGGACTCCCTCAGGCCCCCCTCCCAGCACAGGTATCTTTCTCCAGTGCAGTGGCCGAGTGGTGCCCCCAAAACACACCCACCTCCTCACCCTCAGAGGCCGTGAGTGCGACTTCATTTAGAAAAAGGGCCTTTGCTGACACAATCCAGCTAAGGCTCCCAGAGGAGGTCATTCTGGATTCGGGCGGCCCCGAGTCCAACGACAAGTGTCCCTGTAGGCCACCCCAGAGGAGAAGACACAGGACAGCGGAGGCAGAGACGGGGACGATGCAGCCACAGGGAACCCCGGCCCCGGGAGCTGGAAGAGGCAGAGGAGCCTCACGGAGCCTCCGGAAGGAGCCAGCCCTGCCCACTCCTTCCTCTCCAACTTCCGGCTCAGGCCCTGAGGGAGCAGCTGTCTGTGGTCTAAGCCCCTAGTGAGCAGAAATCCGCGCTGGGAAACCATCCCAATTGCCCCCCGGGAGCTGGCGAATGGCATGGGCACCGGGTAGAACCGTGGACTCCGCCCTCTACACCCCTCCTCGCCCGCTTCTTCCAGCGGATCCCGTGTCAGCGCCCCCGGCCCCGACACCCCAGCCAGGAGCCAGGGCAGCTTCCCACCCTCTGCCAACAGCCTCCGAGGCCTGGGCTTCCCGCCGGCAGGTCCCAGCGCTGGCCGCCTTCGGCCTCAGCTCGAGTGCATCCCTACGGGAGGGCTTGGGTTCCATCCTGCTCAGCGGCGGCCTCACGGTCCACAGGGAACAGCAGCACCTGCTGGGCCTACCAGACCCTTCACGGTCCCCTGACCGTGGCCCAGCCACACCTGGGGACACAGCAAAGCTCAGAAACAGGGGCTGGTCCCCCCAACCCCCGCTCCGCCCCCGAGAGAAGTCTGTGGCGCTTCCTGTCAAGGACACAGGAAGGGGAGGGAAAGGACCTGCACTCATCGGGTCTGCAGGGATTTTTATGGAAACTCCTTCGTCTCCCGCTGCCAAGGGCATCGCTGCCATCCTGAAGCCGGAGGAGGCCACCCCAGCACCCCGCACCGTCGCCGGCCCTCAGTCCAGAGCTGCGTGCATCCCCCTGGAGGGCCTGCGGAACGTCATGCGGGTGGTCCCTGGGCTCCCAGTGGCCCTCGGTCCCCTTCACCTGCACGGGGCCCGGGTGGAAACGGCCATCGCCCAGCCACTGGGCACATCCCTGCTGCCCATAAAGCAGTCGAGACGGGAAATGGGAGCACATGGTTGGTTCACTCTGCAAGGGGCTCAGGTGAGAACTGGGGAGCAGCCCACTGACTCCAGGAAGCAACAAGCAGTAACCAGCGCCGTGATGGCTTTAGGGGCGAGGCCTCAGCACATGACGCTGCAGACACAGCAGCTGACTGAGCAGAAGACATGTCCAAGGCCCCGGGAGCTAGTGAGGGCAGCCCCCCTGCAGGAAGGGCCCCCCCAACCCCGACCCCAGGAAGGGCAGGCCCCGGCTGCATGCGGAGGTGGCAGAGCAGAGGCGGATCCCTGGCGGCCTGACTTTCAGCCCGGGCTCCTCCCGCTGCCTCTCTGACCGGGAGCGACTGCATCTCCACATGACGTGCAGCTCCCCCATGGGGTGAGCACCCCCAAGGGCACCGCTGCTGGGCTCGCTGGACTGGCCTGTCCTCCGCAAGGTGGACGCTGAGAGCGGCGGGCTCAGTGCCGAGCAGGATGTGGCCTTGGGCTCCATCGATTTAACTGAGCACAGCCTGCTTCATCCCGATGTCTCCGCGGGAACACACGCTCGGATGGGAGAGGCTGTTACCATGGTGACAGCAGCCGAGGAGCGAGGATGGAGGCAGCTCTGCCAAGGCCACGAGGGGCCTCCCACACAGGCCCCAGGGACGCTGGGTGTGCCGGTGCCCCGGAAGGCCTCCCTCCCTCACGTGGAGATGGCCTCATGGGCACCGCCAGCAGAGCGGCTTTCTTTCCAGCAAATTTCTCCCGACGATGGCCAGGCTGCAAGCATGAGCTGTGAGCACTCAGGCCGAACCACGGCCGATCGTGCAGGAGCTTTTCCAGGCTCCACGGCAAAACGCCACTGCTGGTGGCTTCAACAATAGAGAATTATCTCCTCACAGTTCTCGATGCTACAAGCCCACGGTCGAGGTGTAAGCAAAGGTGGGTTCTTCGGGGCCTCTCTCCTGGGCCTGCACACGGCACCTTCTTCCTGTGTCTTCTCATGGTCTCGCCTCTGTGTGCGCATCCCTGGTGTCTCTCTGTGTCCAAATCTCTTCTTATCAGGACACCAGTCCTACTGGGTCAGGGCCCTGCAATGACCTCATTTGCCTTCATCACCTCTGTAAAGATTGAACGTCCACCTTCCGATGGCCCCGGGGATGGGGACTTCAGCTTTTGGTGGTGGGGAGGTCACAATTCAGCCTTCTTCGCTTCTCCACTCAGAACCTTGACCTTGACGGTGCAGTCTGTTCAGGGAGAAGCAGCCAGGTTGCTGGGGCAGGTGGGGCCATGGGAGAGGGGCCTTTCTGCATAACTGCTCACTGCACAAGCCCACTGACGCCCTTGCGTGGTTTCTCTGGGTGGTGAGCCAGTCTACACATCCCTACCACAGCCGGGGTATATG